CTAAGACAGATCACGTTAGTGATACTATTTTATTCTATTACCATTTATTGGTATTTTTAGGATCTTCCTGTTTAATATTCTCAATTTGTATATTCTATTTCCAAGATCAGTATAAATGTAATAGGTTCCTTTCATCTTTTCTCAAGCTTCTTTTTATCTTGTAAATTATTTTTATACATTAGAACTAATTCTCCAACTTTAAAATTAACACTTCCTTTCAATTTATAATCATATTGCTTCTTTTGTTTCTTTTGAGGGTTTTAAATATTATTTTGTGCTTGCTGTATTTCATTACCCATCCTTCCAGTTATTTGTTGTATACGATTAATTAAATCTTCTTGTTCAGCTAATGTTACATTTTGCATATCTGATGTTTGTATTTGAAATTCAATCAGCAATGTAGCATTTCTCTCATAGGTTAAGTAAAAAGGTTCATGTCGTGTGATACTATGCCTTTTTGTATGATATGCAAATAAGGTGGATGGTAGAAAATTATCCCAATCATTTTTATTTTCATTTGTGAATTTTGCTAGTGTTTACATAAAGTCATTAAATCACTCGTTAAGGCCATTAGTTTGAGGATGATATGCAGTTATCAACTTATGCTTTATTTCCAATTCTTCACATAGAGAATCCAGCATTTGATTTACAAAATACATTTCCTATCAGTTAATAATTCCTTGAAGCATCCATGTTTACAAATTATATTCTCATAAAAGAAAGGAACTATTGAGGATGCTTTTGCATTTATGAAAGCTTTAGCTTTAGGCCACTTAGTCAAGTAATCAGTTGCTACTACAATATATTTATTTCTTTTGTTCATTATGGGTAAAGGTCTAACAATATCCATTTCTACTCGATCAAAGGATTGTCTAACTTTTATAGAATGTAATAGCTCAGTCCTTTTATTTTTACCTCTCCTTTAACATTTATCACAAGTTTGAATATATTGTCATACATCATCATACATTTGTGACAAACATTAGAAAATTTTGAAGATGTTGACCCACACCAGTATATGTGTTGATCAACACTAACCTATAGTTTAACGTAATATATAACATTACATAATGCTATGTACTAAAGTTTATTAATACATACCATTGTTATACATGTTTTTCAATACTATCAATTATTTATCATGTTGTATACTATTATGCAATAGCGTATATAAACGCATACTGTAACTTGTCAAAAAATTAAAAATTTAAATTTAAACTTTATTTTCATAAATTAAAACATGTATACATTTATAAAATATTCATTTGGTCATTCAGCACGTTGAATTATATGCACTAATTTAATGATTGACTCTATAGACATAACATAATATGTATTTATAATCTGCAATAAGGGACAATCGTATTTGTATAAATGTCTTAGATCATATTTGTAATAAAAATCATACTATCATATAAGAGCAAGGTCAAAAAATGAATAATCTTCCATTTCAACATTAATTAACATAAGAATCTAAATACATAAAATACATTGATAATTAACATTATTGTTAATATAAAACTACTAGTATTATTAACTGTACCTTGCTAAAATATGAACCTTCATCTGTATTATAGTCTTCAGTTTCTTCTTCGCTAAATAACGATTCATTGTAATATTTATTTTTTGCTCTAATATAATCTCTACTAGAAATAGTATTAGTATAGCTATACTAGTTAATTTTATAATTAATCGTGTCAGTTAAGCCTTTGCATAAGTCAAAAAATTTATTTAATGCTGGTAGAAAGTGTTTAAAAGTCATTAAAGCTTTATCGATCAAATCATTGGTTGACTTATAATTATTAAAAAATTTGTCAAAATCTTTAAAAAAATATGCCTAAAAGGCTGTTCATTATAGTTTTTTATCAGCGTCAGTTAACAGCTACATGTTGATGTGGCAAGTATTTAACTATCAAGTTACAATAAACCTATAAAAAACAATAGCAATTTAACATACATAATCGTTAAAACAATGAGTAAAATAGATATTAATTGTTTTAATCATTTGATCTATTGTATTATGTTTGTTACTGGCTCTATATAGTTTTTTAATAGAATCTTTATGCAAAATTCATATGTTTCTGTTGTAAAACTGTTAATCGCCTCATGTTCTTTAATTACTGTAATGATATGATAATACTAGTTATATAGCTTTGGTAATCGAAGCTCAGATAGAGAATATGATTTAAAGAGCTTATAAATAATATTGCTCAACTCGTAATTAATTCTTACAAACACAATTAATTTATTACATTAATAATCAGACTTAGTACCATAACTAAAAACTCATTAATCCATCATACCTCAAAAATATATAACTCTGATTCCAAAAAATATTCCCGTCAATTGTACAAGTACATCTTATTCTAGCTATAGTATACGTTAACTAATAGTTCATCAACCTTTTTGGCTTGATTTTTGCTTACTGATTCTTTTTGATGCTTTTTGATTAATCCTTCAATGATGAAAAGAAACATCTTTATCATATTCCAAAAATCATCTGCTGTAAACCGCTTAATATTTTCTAACTCATCTAGGCTATTATCAAATTCGCCAACTGCTACTTTATCACAATAATTTATTAGCAATTCCCTTGTATAATTCACTTGATAATTGAACAATTCCAAGTCAAGATGATGTATGCAGCCGAAAATTATTGTTGAATAAATGTTTAAAAGACTAAGTAAATAAATATTATTACGAAATCGTCATAATTAATTCTTTTTATTGATCACATGGATATTTCTAAAAGATGTTTTCCATATTATGTAAAGAGTATTATTGTGCAAAACTTTGTTCAACAATACTCTTTATACCTTCTGGTATTCTCAAAATAATTCATTCATTTTTTAATTTTACATTATTCAGGTTTCCGCTTTCTATTAAACACTGATAACATGAGTATTTACAATTGATAGAATTATATGTTAAAGTTACCGTAGCATTTTCTGGAAGATCTCCTAGCATTACAGAAATAAATGGATAACACTATAGTAATTCATTGTTATCTATTTTAAGGTCAATTCCATCAACTTTATAATCAAGTATCAGGCATATTAATATACTTAAAGCATATTGATAAAGGACACATTTAGCCAATTGAAAGTCCTTAGATTTTTTTTCAGAGTTAGTTTTTGCCTTCAATTACAAAGATATCCCAAAAGAACTTTTGCATCAGATTTATTCCTAATCCAGCTAGATATATTTCCCAAGGTTAAATAAATGGGATGTTGGCTGGTTTTACCTAATTAGTTGCATGTCATCACATCAGAATACATGATTATCAACAAGACTTTTGCTTCATCAGAAATCGAATTTTGTACCCTTTCCCACCACTTCTTGTTATATTGTTTATGATAAATTCTCTGACCTTCGTAGTTCAATAGCTCAAATTTAAATTTACAATGATGAAATATATTTTGATTGTTTAGTAACTTCTTTATAGTATCAAAAATTTAACAGTAATAAAGGTAATATTTTTTCTCTTTATATACTATAATAGGGATCTTTTTAAAAGAAATATATGATATATTCATCTGATCTACAGAGGGTTATCAAAAGTTTTCGAACGCTTTTTTTAATATATATAAAAGGTAATGTTTATATATATTTATGTTTGTTTATTTGTTGATTTTGCTTTAAATAACATTTTAACTTCAAATTTCCCTTTTTTCTTTTTTTTGCAACTTACGGCTACAATTACAACAATGGAAAAATAACAAATTAACTGCGAAGCAATGTAATGTGATAATTTTTTGTCGTAAAATGGTGATTCATATAGTAAAATTGCAGAAACTTTTAGATGAGGCAAAATAACAGTATATGACATATTAAAAAGGCATGCTAAAACTGGTTCTACCCATTCTTGCTGATCTTGAAAGGGATATTAAAAATGCATAAAAATTGATTCCAAAATGTGTAATTGAAAATTTAGTTGATAGTATGCTAGCACGAATTTAGGCGGTGATTGTAGCAGAAGTCAGCCAATTAAATATTAGTTTAATAGTATGAAATGTAGTTTTTAATACCCATAAAATAAAGTTATAATATAGATTTTTTATTGAGTTTTAAAAATTAAATGTTTTATATTGCATAAAAATCGTTCAAAAACTTTTGATAACCCTTTGTAACAACTGACGACCCTTTTTTATAGACGTTAGTAAAATTATATCATTGCGACAAATCTTTTTTAAAAATTTAAGTATATCACTGTCATATGCATCTGATAAGTTCTATTTAATAAGTAATTCCATAAAATCTCCAAATTCATTACTTAGAAATTCTAGTATATCTGTTATTGAATTACTAATATTAAAAGACTCAAGGATTAGACTTATTTCAACGAAAAGCAATAAATACTTGATTTTGTCATTATCGATCATCTGCTATATAGATGTTAATATAATATCACATCAAATAACTATGTAATACATTGATCTCCTACCTTTTCTTCAAGTTGTTCTTCATAACTAAACTCCTCCTCTTCTTCAAGTTGTTTGTCATAACTCAACTTCTCTTCTTTAAGTTGTTTTTCATAACTAAACTCCTCTTCTTCTAATTGTTCATCATAACTCAATTCCTCCTCTTCTTCTAGTTGCTCATCATAACTCAACCCCTTCTTTTCTTCTAGTTGTTCACAGGCCTGTTCTACTTCTTCAGAAATTTTTTGTAAAGCTCTGTAAACTACTGCATTATTATGAATCTTTATGTGATTTCGTAGTGAAGCATGATGACTAAACTTTCTTCCACAAGTTGAACATATATAACTTAGCATTTTTTTAATAAAATAAGATGTGGATTTAACTACTAAGTTAAATTAATGTGATGAATTTAAGGATTTCAGAATATCATGATGTTTAAACTGAATTGAATTAATTAATGATCAATTCATATCTTCATCATTAAATTAATCAATGAGATTAATCACATTACGAAAATAAAAAGAATCAAAAAACATTAATATCTAACATTTCTTTTTTTCACCTATTATATTTATCATAATGAGTACTATTAATTACAACAACTTAAAATGTCCAAAGATAAGATTAATAACGACAAATAAAAAGGTAATTATATATTATTTATCAATTACATTTGGTTGATTTATTTCTATGTTTGTTAACTCGTTATACTTTCTTTTAGATTCTGAAAAATAAAGGTATGAAGAAAACTTTTTTGATTATTAAGCGTACTAATTTTTAAAATTAAACGTAGCATCAAAAGAACGTCTGAGTTCTACTGATACTAATATTAAGGTTACTGATTAAATATTAGGAAATCTGAGGAATCTGTTAACAGACTGCGATCAAATACTAGAAAACCTGAAAAATCCGTTGACAAATCATGATCAAATACTAGGAAAATAAAAATTCTAAAGATTAACTTATTTTCAAACAATGATTTCATCTTTCAGACAAGTTCAAATAATACTACTAGGGTATGTTGAGAAATGATTCAATTAGCAATAGCAAATTATATTTTTTATTATTGTTACTTGTTTTAACTAACCCTCAATATATTTATTTATTATGTAGATAGGAGAAACATCAACAATGCTTTTACTTGATGTAGTAATATCTCATTTTACACATCAAACGACATTTAAAACGTCTAAGACAAGCTTTAGAGTATCTCAAGATTCTAAAGAATCTGCTGAAGGTCGAATAGAATTTACATCAACATATATCTTGAGTTTATTAATATGATATTAAATTAATTCTAATTTATTAGCTGATTATACATGAGAATTAACGAAAATAATTAAAATCTGTCAAAGAAATTCAACAAAACTAAACAAACTAATTGTAAATCAAGAAAAACTAGAGGAAAAGATAAACAATAAGGATAATAAAATATCAACAATATTGTTATTGTTAAATAATTACTACAAGAAAATCCGCCTTGAAATTGAGATGAAAAATAAAGGAAAAAGCAAAGTTAAGAAAAAAGAAGATTTTTACCATGTAAATAAATATAAATAATTTATAATATTTCTTTAAATATTTGCTTATAATTATATTTGTGTTATAGGATGCAATTAAAAAGCTTGCCTACGAAATATTTCACAAGTATAAACAGTTATTTGAATAACAGATAAAAGAACATTTTAAAGAAAAATTAGACAGTGATGAACATTATGTTGATTTTCTTCAGAAGTCTAATAAAAGAGGTTTAACCTTTGATGAGTTGTGAAACAGAAAAATGTATTTCTCTGTAAGTACTAGTGTTCTAATTTATATAATATTATATTAGTTAGTATACTAATATATTTAGTAAATTAGCTACTCATCACAGTCTATTCAAAAAGAGGCTACTATATAAAAAGAGTTAAAAAAAGTTTGTGGTTGACATTTGATATAAACCAAATAAAGTCTTTTAAAATACTTACAGTAGCAGTCATAAGTATCTGACTGTCTCTAACTCTGGCTACAAGTAAGTAAATTCAAAATTTTTTTTTATTTAAAAAATACATAACCAATTAACTAAAATTAATACATTGTG